CTGCCTTATTTCCCTTAGCATAATGCTCTTGAGGTCCATCCACGTTGTTGCAAACAGGAGGATTTCCTTTCTTATGGCTGAATAACGTCCCTGGACGTGTGTGTACTACAATCTCTTCATCTGTTCCTCTGTCAATGGACACTTAGGTTGTTTCCATATCTTGGCTATTGTAAATAATACTGCATTAACATGAGGTATTTCTTCGAATTAGCTTTTTCATCCTGTTCAGATAAATACGCTGAAGTGAAAATGCTGAATCATATGGTGATTCTATTTTTAATTTTTCGAGAAACCTCCATTCTGTTAGTGGCTGCACCAGCCTGCATTCCTACCATCCCTACAGCACACAGGGGCTCCCTTCTCCAGAACAGCCATTCTAATAACAGGTAAGATGTCCTAGCTCATTGTCATTTTGATTTGCATTTCCCCAAAGATTAATGACATAGAGCATCTTTCCATGTGTCTGTTGGCCATCTGTATGTCTTTTTGGAAAAATGTCTATTCAGATCTTCTGCCCATTTTTTAATCAGATTTTTTTTTCTCTTGAGTTATAGGAGTTTTTTTATATGTTTTGGATATTAGCCCCTTTTCAGATATGTGATTTGTGATTATCTTCTCACATTCAGTGGTCTGCCTTTTCATTTTGTTCATGGTTTCCTTTGCTGTGCAGAAGCATTTTAGTATGATGTAGTCCCAATTGTTTATTCTTGGTTTTGTTGCTTTTGCTTTTGGCAACAGGTATAAAAACCATAGCCAGGACCTACTATGTCAATGAGCCTGTGTTTTCTTGTATGGGCTTTAAGGTTTCAGGTCGTACATTCAAGTCTTGAATCCATTTTGAGTTAAATCTCAAATGGTGTAAGATATCAGTCCAGTTTCATTCTTTTGTATAAATTTTCCAAACGCCATTTATTGAAGAGACTGTTCTTTCCTCATTGTATATTCTTGGCTCCTTTGTTGTAAATTATTTGACCATATATGTGTGGGGTTATTTCTAGGCTCTCTATTCTATTTCATTGATCTATGTGTCTGATTTTATGCCAATACCATACTGTTTTAATTACTATAGCTTTTATAATACAGTTTGAAAGCGAGGCTCATGATGCCTCCAGCTTTATTTTTCTTTCTCATGATGGCGTTCTCTATTTGGGGTCTTTTGTGCTTCCGTACATGTTTTAGAATTCTTTGTCCAATTTCTCTGAAAAACACCGTTAGAATTTTGATAGGGATTGCAGTGAATCTGTAGATTGCTGTGGATAATATGATCATTTTAGCAATATTAATTCTTCCAATCTATGAACGCCAAATATCTTTCAATTTATTTGTATCTTCTTTAACTTCTTTCATTCATGTTTTACAGTTCTTGATATACAGGTCTTTGACCTAGTTAGTTAAATTTATTCCTAAGTATTTTATTCTTTTTGTTGCAATTGTAAATAGGCTTGTTTTTTTAACTTCTCTTTCTGATGGTTATTAGTGTAAAGAAACAACAGATTTTTGTGCACTAATTTTGTATCCTGCAACTTTACTAAACTCATTTATTAATTCTAAGGTTTTTTGATGGAGTCGGGGATTTTCTATACATAATATCATCTTATCTGCAAATAGTGACAATTTTTGTTCTTCTACAATGTGGATGTCCTTTCTTTTTCTTGCCTAATTACTCTGGCTAGGATTTTCAATACTATGTTGAAAAAAAAGTGGTGAGAGTAGACATCCTTGTCTTGTTCCTGATCTTAAAGGAAAAGCTTTCAGCTTTTCACAGTTGAGTATAATGCTAGCTGTGGGCTTATCATAGATGGCCTTTATTGTGCCGAAGTATGCTCCTTCTATGCCTATATTCTGTTAAAAGTTTTTATCATGAATGGATGTTGAATTTTATCAAATGCTTTTTCTACATCGATTGAGATGATCCTATAATTTTTATCCTTCATTTTGTTAATGTGGTAGACCACACTGATTGCTGTCATATTTGCAAACCATATTTGCACCCCTGGAATAAACCCAACGTGGTCATAGTGTGTGATCTTTTTAATATATTGTTGAATTCAATTTGCTAGAATTTTGTTCAGGATTTCTGCACCAGTATTCATCAAGGATACGGGCCTGTAATTTTTTTGTGTGGCATCCTTGTCTGGTTTTAGTATCACAGTAATGCTGGCCTCACATAATGTGTTCAGAAAAGTCCCTCCATCTTCTATTTTTTCGGAAAGGTTTGAGAAGGATTGGTATTAATCCTTCCTTGAATGTTTGGTAGAACTCACCAGTGAGGCTGCCTGGTCCTGGACTTTTGTTTGTTGGGAGACTTTTAATTACTGATTCAGTCTCCCTGCTAGAAATGGGTCTGATGTTCAGATGTTCTAACTCATCATGATTCAGTCTTGGCTGGTGGGTAATCAAAATTTATCCATTCCTTCCAGGTTGTCTGATTTGTTGGCACATAATTGTTCATAGTCATCTTTGATGATTCTTTGTACTTCTGTGGTATCCGCTGTACATCTCCTTTTTCATTTCTAATCTTACTTGAGTCCTCTCCCTCTTTTCTGGTGAGTCTCACAAAAGGTTTGTCAACTCCGTTTACTTCTCAAAGAACCAGCTCTTCGTTTCATTGATCTTTCCTAATATCTGCCTATGCCATTTATTTCTGCTCTAATCTGTTACTGCCTTCCTTCTACTAGCTTTGGGCTTCATTCTTTTTTTTCTAGTTCCTTGAGATGTAAAGTTAGGTTGCTTATTTAAGACTTTTCTCATTTCTTGAGGTAGGCATTTATTGTACAAACTTCCCTCTTAGAACTACTTTTGCTGCACCCAGTAAATTTTGGTATGTCACTTTTCCATTTTCATTTGCCTCAAGGTATTTTTTGATTTCCCTCTTGATTTCTTCTTTGACCCTTTGGTTGTTCAGCAGTCTAATCTCCCCATATTTGTGAATTTTCCAGTTTTATTCATGTAATTAACTTCACCTTTCTTAATCAACAAGCCCACGAAGGTGTGTTCCTTCACCAAAGTGCCAAAAAGCTCTAAAATAAATGCTGTCCTTCCCCTAAAATGCAGAAAGGAGGCAGTGGGTTTTTTTTTTTTTTTAAGCAATTTTTCTTCCTAGCATATCCTGCCCTTAATAAAATCTTTATAGTCCCTGCAAAAGTTCCTGGTCCACAATTTCTCTCTCTAAGAGGTGAGTGATGAAATGGGGGGAGGGTGGACTTCACACGGCTGAGGCCTGCAGGTGCCTCTCCCAAGGGGCTGCCAAGGGGCCCCGGCGCCCACCAGCCAGAAAGCCCAAACCCCATCCACTGTGTGTACTTCCTGCTTGGAAAGCCTGGTATTTGGGTTTCACTAGAAGAACAGCTACAAACTGGCTACAGCGTTCACATATTTTACATATATATTACATAAAAGAAGCTTCTCTGTTGTGAAGAACGGATCCTTTAAGCCAAGAACTGCAGGCCGGAAGGACCCGCCTCAGAAATTGCACTGAAAAATGTGATTTACAAAAAAGTACATTTGAGCTGGGATTCCTTTGGTCGTCATTGCTGCTCTTTTAAACCATCATCCAGCAAAGCCGCAATGTGCTTCTTTCTAAACCACAGCACCAGAGAAAATCAATTCAAGTATTTCCCCACACTGTAGCACAGGTACAAATGAGCACTAACCACTACTTCCCAACCTCCACGGAAACAGAAAATACGCCTTCTAAGGGACACGAGGGGAAGCGAAGAAGTCAGGATATGACATTCACATCTACTGCAAATCATATTTCAAAGAACTAACTGAGACTGGGGCCAGCTGTGAACCTGCTAGCGGGGAAAACCCAGCCATCTCCCAGAGATCTCACTGTGAAGTTAAGAATAAACGCAGTTACACGAGCAGGAAACCGTATTTTGAGTAGACAGGTTGGAAAGCAGCTAAATATACTGAATCAAATCAAGTATTATTGGAAGAACCGTGAAAAACTTCACCGTATGGAAATGAGGTAATAACCATTAGGTACATAGTCGAAAATCAGATTCAATCAAGGAACAAAATGGAGTTTATAATTTGTATGACTCCATTTTATAATGTCTTTTGACAGTTCCCCAAACCAAGTGTCTTTCTGGGGAGATTATGACCGTTATAGTTTGTGGCTGCTAACGGCACGGCAAGGGGGAAGCAATGCACAGGGACGTGGAAGCAGAGCTGGAACGCACACCCCTGCGTCTACATTTGAGGCAAAGTACAATTTCTCTGTACATTCCGCAAAATCACCTGCAGAGCTCACACGAGGCTCTTTATGAAAGAGCCCTTCTCTTTGTACCTCATCACTGACTGGCTGGCGCCCCAAATCTACGTCTGGTTCTGCTTGGTATCGCTTTGTTAATGCTGTTCATTAATGTAACAAACTATCAGGAGAATATGCTTGGAATGGGCAGGCATTATCTCCCAACTTTCATTTAATTAAACTCTGCGATTGCAGTATGACAGTCAGCACATCATAGGGGAAATTATTTTAAGAATGAAGGTAAAAAGTATTTCAAAGCCTGCACTTAAATATGAAAGCATAATCTAAAACGGCCGAGCACACACTGTAATTTTTCTATAATATTAAAGATGTTATTTCCAGACTTGGTAATTAATTGGATTCCATGGAGAAATTACGCCAGCATCCTTGATAGCAAAATGATGCACAAAGGCAGGGAACAGAGTGCCAAAGGACAGCCATAAACAACCATGCTGTCGCCCAGATTATGACAATCATCGGGCTTAATAAGGAGTGAGAGCTGCCCGCTTCTGTGCACACTCATTCCTCCTGCAAAGTGCCTGCACTGAATTCTGATTATGTTGCCTTAACAAAAACGAAGGGGAGAGGCTCCCGCCCCAGAAGAATGCCCAGCCCTGCCCCGTGGAGCCAGGAGCCCCAGGCTCAGTGAGGACAGCACCCTGCAGGGTGAGGGCCAGTCCCAAGCCCCCCACCGCCTCCTCCCGGGCCCTCAGGGAGACAGGTTCTCAGGAAGCAGGCTTACCGTCAATCCGGCTCACGAGCTCTTCCAACATCTTCACCTTCATTTGAATCCCAGGCTGGGCAAAGTTATAGTTGTCCTAAGGGAAAAATAACAACAAATATCATATGCACAGAAAATAAAACACACCTTCCAAAGGGGAAAAAGGAAGTCGGAACAAAGGTGAACAGTTTCACAGCAGAACAAAGTCACCACCTGGTCCATGCCCGCGGCGTCAGGCCCTGTCACAATGGCCGACCCGCAGCAGGATCCCATCTGGGGTCAGATCCGGCCCTTCCCGACATCAGAGGGCGAGCACACCCGCCTTGGGGAGCATCTACCGGAGCATCTCTTTATGTAAATGCAGATATTTACATTTACATGGAACAAACGGGCGTGGGCACGGACAGCTCCTTGAGAAGCGTGTGCCGCAAGCAGCTGCCTGGCCGCCACCCGGGTAGCGGGCACTCGCCGGTGCCGGAAAAACGGCGGCAGAACGGCGCCTGGGCCGGTGCTCTCGGTGCCCACATCCCGCCCGCAGGCCCCGGGCCACCGACGCGGCCGCTGCACGAGGAAAGTGAGCGTGTGACCACTCTCGGTGAACCCAGGTGAAGGAGTCGATCAACTGAGACAGGAAACCCAGTGTGGGCATCGAGGGGGACGAGTCCTTGGTCAAACAGACCTGGAGAAGGAGCCCCACCCTCCTACTCGGGAGCTGTGCAGCCTCGGTAAGCAACGTCACCTCTCGGCTCCCGTTGGTCGTCTACACCGTGACAATCATGCTGCCTTCTAGGTCTGCTCCGAGGTGTACAGGAGACCAGGTCAGGGGACCGTGCTGGAGGGCCCAAGACTACCAGAGGTGCCGAGGAACGAGGGCGGGGCCTCAGCCAGCCCCCGTCGCCTTCACAAGGGCTGCTGGGTTTCGAAGGCACACATGCAAGGCAGAGACAGCCCCAAAGAGGTCTACGGCCTAAGCCCAGAGGCTGCCAAAGGGCACAAAGGTGTCAATCCACCGACCAAAGGGAATTATCTGGACTAGCCAAGGGCCCACTGCAGTCCCGGGGTCCTGACAAGTCCACAGGAGCGTGAGAAGGACTCGACCTGCCGCAGCAGTGTTGAAGATGGAGGAAGGGGCCACGAGGCAAAGGACGCGGGCTGGAAAAGGGGCAGGTTGTGAGATCTCCCTGGAGCCTTAGGCCCACACCTTGAGTCAGGCCCACAAGAGCCACATCAGAAGCCTGGCCTCCAGAACCACGAAGAAACACATAATCTGTGTTGTTTTCAGCCACTAAGCCTGTGGTGATTTGTTACAGCACCCCCAGGAAATGAATACAGGAGGCCTGGGGGATGTTCTTCACCGCGGCCCTCAGGATGCACTAAGATGAAAGGACGAGAAGAGAATCTGGAGCAATCAAGACCCCAGTGCCAACCCTGCAGATCCCTGGACTCCGGGGAGCACACAGGCCTTGGCCCCAGCGGCTCACGCGGGCTCGTGCTGGGCCAGTGCTGGGACGGAGTGGCTCGTCCTCAGGGAGCGACACCAGGCAGGCCGCACAAGCCGCGCCCAGGACAGCGAGACCCCTGGCCTCTGGAAGGTATGGGTGACGTGGGCAACTGCAGCCCCACCAGGCAGTCGCTGTGGCCCTGTGGACAGTGGGGAGCACTCCTGCTGTGCCACGTACCACGGGGCACTGGGGGGGGCATCATTCGGGCGGGGACGGCTCCTAGGCAGCCGCCCCACATCTCGGCCTGCATTCAGGGCCCAGGAGGGAAGTGGAGGGCAAGTCCAGGCTGGACACAAACAACCCCAGACAGTCAACCGTGCAGACACCCCCTGTGAGCGAGGGGCCGTGCCCACAAAACCCAGAGTCCAAACCTGAAGGGCACGGAGCAGCTGGCCGCACAGGGGGCAGCTGGCAGGAGACCCCAGGGTCGTGGCCACAGCACCCAGTGCAGCCAGCTCCAGAATCTGCGAGGGGGCTTTTCAGGTGAAATGCTCAGCGTGGAGCAGCTTGGGAGGCTCAGGTGGGGGATCCTTGCCCCCGGGCCCGGCTCCGTCAGCTCTGCGTTCACCGTGCGCACACACACTCACCACCGCACAGGCCCACGTGGCAGCCGGAGCTGGGGCAGGAGTGGCCGCCAGCGGGGCGCAGAACTAAAGTCTCCTACGGGCATCGAGGAATTTCCACAGTCGCAGACAGCGGACAATCAGCCCTGCCTTCTCGCTGGCCAATCTCCCCCGAGTGGATCAGGGGCAGGCTGCTCCCCCTCCAAGGCTCTGCTGCACATGAGGGTGGCCTGGCTCTGGCCCAGCGATGGCTCTGATGGGGTGCGTAAGCCCGAGTGATCCTGGGATTCAGTCAGCCGGTTTATTTGGCTCTCGCACCAAGATAGGATTTCAAGATTCTCATTTAGAAGAAATAAAAGTTATTATTCGGTCTCCATCTGCCACTATTTTGTTTTATTTCTCAATTTGTTCAAAATCCAGGTAGGGAAGATAGGTTTTCTTGGAAATCCAAACAATGAGAAAAGAAGAACACCTGAGAGCCTTTAAAATTTAAAATTTAAAAAAATAAAACTATGTTTTAAAAGGACCAGAAGAGACTGATGGATGGGCTGTGGCCTTGGCATTCTGGACTTGGGTCCCAGGCAGAGAAGATCGGCCTTCAAACGGGCTCCAACCCAGATGACAAGATGGGTCTCGGAGGGCAGAGCCCAGCGAGCAAGGGCACAGCGGTCAGCTGAGGGAGCCCAGGCTGTGGGTGGCCCTGCTCAGCGGCCAGAAAGCCTTTGAAGGGCACACCAAGGACCTTCCAGACCAGACGGCTGAATGAGAAGGTGTGAGGGGAAAAGAACATCCTGTGGCCCCAGCAACAGCCCCTCTGGGAGACACGGGGTACTCAGGCCCTCCGGGGGGGCGGGTACCTGTGGCCCGGCAAGATCCTGCCAGCACAGCACCTCTCACAGGTTCTGCCCACCCAAGGCCAGGTCACCAGATGTACCTCTGGGCCATCACCCCCAGCACCCCATCCAAACACGCACCTGCACGCACACCTGGCACAGAAAACACCTGCTACACGAAGCTGTGAATGGGCGCAGAAACCTACACACTTATGGAAATACTAACATTAATAACATCACCACCTTCACAAAAAGTAAACATTCATATCCTTTCTAATTGAGATTTGATTTTACATCTTTAAGAAAGAATATGCTCTTCGAAACTTACAAGTCGGGCGCCTGGGTGGCTCAGTTGGTTAAGCGACTGCCTTCGGCTCAGGTCATGATCCTGGAGTCCCGGGATCGAGTCCCGCATCGGGCTCCCTGCTCGGCAGGGAGTCTGCCTCTCTCTCTGACCCTCCCCCCTCTCATGCTCTCTATCTCGTTCTCTCTCTCAAGTAAATAAATTTAAAAAAAAATCTAAAAAAAAAAAAAAAGAAACTTACAAGTCAGAGGAAGAAAGGTCTGAGGAATACAGTGATACACTGACCTTTTGGGGAATGTTTTACCCAAGGTAAAGTCTGTATTCACAGAAAACCGAAGCACGCGCCCACGGCCTGCCTTACATCTGTTGCCATACAACCTCACACTTCGGCAAAAACAAGTAGCACTCTCTGTGCTCTTCGGGAGAAAAGGAGAATAACATTTTCTGAAGGACCCTGGCAGAGACGAGCTGAAAATTAAATTCACAGGGGCTGAGCTGGAAGGCCCCACAGACCCCACCTGCCACAGCATGCAGCTCCGGGAGCACCTGTGACAAGGGGCTGGAAGGCCCACAGCTCCCCCCCGACCAGAGACCCGCCGCCTGGCCTCTCTCCCTGGAACACGGCTTCTTTCCTATGCTGAAACCACAGGAGCCCCTCTCTGTGCCCTGCAGGACCTGCCTCTGGAACAGCTCAGCAATTTCCTTTCACAAACAATGGCCTGAAAGACCTCTGTGTCCGTCATCTCTTGCAGGTGCCCCCAGGACCCAGACACAGCCCTGGACAAAGTGCCCCACAGGGGCCCCGGCAGTGCAGAGGTCAGAGGGCAAGCACCTGCTGTGGCAGCTGCAGTCCGTGTCACCCGTCTGGACGTCACCCCGGCTACTGCAAGTAATGCAGCGTCCAGAACAGGGTCAGACTGTGAGCTGCTTCATCTCCCCAGGAACCACTTCTGCATCCTCCCGTGGGCCACACGACATGCTGAGTCCTGGCAGAGATGGCACACAGAAGCGCAGGCCTGGGACTGCTGTCCTCAGACAGGCTCGTGTGCAAGGCCGGCCCTCCCTCAGCTGGTGCCAGAGATCCGAGAGTTCAGGAGTGTTCCCGTCATTCCCGAACAAACAAGGATGCTTCACTGGACCTCAACCAACAGTGTAGCTTATGCTGAACTGCATTCCTTCTGGGAGTCTGGAATTTTGGAAAGTGCCAGGCAGAGGGTGTCGAGGTGACGAGCTCTCCATACAACCCAGGCACAGAGTCTCTAACCAGCTCCCAGGTGGACATTTCACACCTGCTGTCATGACTCACTGCTGGGGACATGATGTGTGTCCCGTGTGCCTCCACCGGGACAAGACGTGAGGTGCCTTACCCCTGCTGTCTCCGGGCCTCCCCACTTGGCTTGTTCTGCTTTGCATGCTGGTACTGGAAGGAATGATGGCCTTGAATACAACCATATACTGATTCCTGGGAGGCACTGAACCTTGGGCTGGTCTTTGGGTACCCCAACAGAGTCAGGGAGAAAAACCAACAGGGCCCTTCTGTTCACAGAGAGACCAGTTAAGCAAATGTTCATCACGCAGGCCACACAACTGCATGAGAAGGGCCAACTGCGATGTGGGGAGCCCCGCCTGTTAGCACAGCACAGACGGGGAACCCCATCTGGAGACCAGGCTGAGGATGTGAAGCCTGAGCAGAGATGCAGAAAGAAGGGAGCAGCGTGCAGAAGAGCCCTGGCAGCAGCCCAGAGCAGGGCACCTCCCGGGGTGGGGGGGGGGAATGAAGGCCAGGACAGTTGGAGGGGCAGTGAGGAGGCTGGGGTATGGCGGGAGAAGACCGTTCTGAGGCTGGGAGACCATCTGGGAGGGAAGGGTAGGACCAGAGCAGAGCCATGGAATGA